TTTTGGTTTTGCACTGCTTTGCAGTATCTGATTTTCCACACTAAAAATCATGTTTTTTTGTAATATTTGTTTGTGTATTTATTATCGAAGCATTGGAACTACAAATTTTTAATGAAGCATTCCCGGGTTTTGCTTGGCCGAATGCAGTACTTAGATATCCATTTCTTGTCTGTCTTCTGAAAATATCAAACATAATTTAGATATGAATGTAAGACCAGGAATAATAATAAGAGTAATTACCATTATTAGGTCTTCGCACAAAATTAAAGGATCTCTCTAGAAATTATGCCTGGTTTGCCATGGCCGATCATTTACCCTCTGTTCAGTTGTTTTATGTCGGGTATCTATACCAAAAACTATGAGAAGAAAAAATAAAATATGACAAACGCAGGCGCAACACTTCTGGTCCCAAGAAGTCTCAGTCGGCCTGGCTGAAATAAATGTAATATTTTGATTAAGTTAAACAACTAAGTTAGTACTGAAGTACTATTTATACAACCATTTAATGAACACCTCACACCATTTACCACTGGTAAAGATTAAAAACATTTCAAGTGTCACTGAAATGCAGAATTTGTGTTGAAGATAGCATCCGGAGGCGTATATTTATTAATGGCGAAAATATCTGTGATACTAACCTTTGTAACGCTGAAATAAAGGTTATAAAAAGACAAAATTCATTTTATCACGCACCTTTTTATTGTTTTTTAGATTAAAATTAACTATTTTCACTTTTTTTTTTCACTTTTTCCAACAAATTTAAAAATGATGTGACCCTGCATTATATTCTTGATAATACCATACAAAATGCAGATAAATGTGGGGTAAATTTCGTTGTAAAGTTGGGTCACACTTTGGCGCCGAATAAATATTTAAACAATACTTTTCAGGGACCGTAATCATTAAAGGTTACGTATATTATAGGTATATTAGGCATTTTTCGTGTTATCAATACCACCAAAACGAATTTTTATATTTTAACAACACTTAAAAATGGCTTAGGCCACGATCTGACGAACAAATTATTTTATTTCACAGAAAATGTTTAAAAATGTAAAAAACAACAATAGTTTTCTTTGTAATTTAATGTAATTCCTTGATAAATGTGATCAATTATTTTAATCGTCTTACCGTGGCTTTTCTCTATAATTTGGTTGAATCCCACATTCATCCTTATTATTATTTGAAAAATGTTGAGTAAAATAAATTAATATTATCATTATAGACATTATGATAATAATGTTATATAGTTTAATTTTTTTGATTAACAATTATTAATATTTTTTCTACGACTTTTAAAATTACTAAAAATTAAAACTAAATGTGAGAACAAGTCTTTTGGTTTTGGTGTAAATCATAGGATTTTTTAATATTATAAGTTGGTGATTTTTTTTGTTAAAAAATATTATAATCGTAGTGCCACAGAAATCACACAGCGCATAAATGGCCTGATATTGATGCTACTCAGAAACCCACCCTCATTTAACGCTCAGAAATTATCTATCCCTACACCGCCGCCTGCAAAAAGGAACAGGATTTCAAGAACACAAAAACCAACTTCTCACATTCCCGCTGGGTGAGCGATAAATGGGGGTGGGTTTTTGAGTAGCATCAATATCAGGCCACTTATGCGCTGTGTGATTTCTGTGGCACTATGATTATAATATTTTTTAACAAAAAAAATTACCAACTTATAATATTCAGAAATCCTATGATTTACACCAAAACCGAAAGACTTGTTCTCACATTTAGTTTTAATTTTTAGTAATTTTAAAATTCGTAGAAAAAATATTAATCATTGTTAATTAACAAAATTAAACTATATAACTATTATCATAATGTCTATAATGATAATATTAATTTATTTTACTCAACATTTTTCAAATAATAATAAGAGTGAATGTGGGATTCAACAAAATTATAGAGAAAAGCCACGGTAAGACGATTAAAATATTTAATCACATTTATCAAGGAATTACATTAAATTACAAAGAAAAAAATTATTGTTTTTTACATTTTTAAAAATTTTCTGTGAAATAAAATAATTTGATCGTCAGATCGTGGCCTAAGCCATTTTTAAGTGTTATTAAAATATAAAAATTCGTGTTGGTGGTATTGATAACACGAAAAATGCCTAATATACCTATAATATACGTAACCTTTAATGATTACGGTCCCTGAAAAGTATTGTTTAAATATTTATTCAGCGCCAAAGTGTGACCCAACTTTACAACGAAATTTACACCACATTTATCTGCATTTTGTATGGTATTATGAAGAATGGTATTATGGTATTATCAAGAATATAATGCAGGGTCACATCATTTTTAAATTTGTTGGAAAAAGTGAAAAAAAAGTGAAAATAGTTAATTTTAATCTAAAAAACAATAAAAAGGTGAGTGATAAAATGAATTTTGTCTTTTTATAACCTTTACAAGGTTATACAAGGTTACAAAGGTTAGTATTACAGATATTTTCGCCATTAATAAATATATGCCTCCGGAAGCTATCTTCAACACAAATTGTGCATTTCAGTGACACTTGAAATGTTTTTAATCTTTACCAGTGGTAAATGGTGTGAGGTGTTCATTAAATGGTTGTATAAATAGTACTTCAGTACTAACTTAGTTGTTTAACTTGATCAAAATATTACATTTATTTCAGCCAGGCCGACTGAGACTTCTTGGGACCAGAAGTGTTGCGCCTGCGTTTGTCATATTTTATTTTTTCTTCTCATAGTTTTTGATATAGATACCCGACATATAACAACTGAACAGAGGGTAAATGATCGGCCATGGCAAACCAGTCATAATTTCTGGAGAGATCCTTTAATTTTGTGCGGAGACCTAATAATGGTAATTATTCTTATTATTATTCCTGTTCTTACATTCATATCTAAATTATTTTTGATATTTTCAGAATACAGACAAGAAATGGATATCTAAGAACTTCATTCGGCCAAGCAAAACCCGGAAATGCTTCAGGCATTACAAATTTTTAGTTCCAATGCTTCGATTGTAAATATTATTAATAAATACACAAACAAATATTACAAAAAACATGATTTTTATTGTGGAAAATCAGATACTGCAAAGCAGTGCAAAACCAAAACTGCGAGGGTCTGGAAAAACCAAAACTGGGAGGGTGTAGAAAAGCACATATTGCAAGTGGAGGAAAACCATAACTGGGTACGTGTGGAAAATCTATAATGCGGGAAGTCAAAAAACCAGTGGATTTTGTCCTGCATTCTTCTGCCAGAGATCCAGATAGAAACCTCATTTCCCCCTTACTTTTTGTGTCACCCCCGTGTATTTTGAAACCAGAGATGGAAGAAATGTAAGGGGTGAATGAGGTTTTGTCCCTTCCGCTTCTATGGAGAAACCTCTTGAAAATATGTTATTTTCCAGAGGAATTTTCCCGGTGGGCAACCACACACACATACACACATGTATTACATATGTATCCATTAATTGCGTCTTAAAATTTCGTTTGACTCTTCCTTGTTTTTAGGGCAATTTCAAAACATTTTTTTTTGGTATTTTGTTCAACGTTTTAGGGCGATTTCGCCCTAAAAAGAAGGAATTACTTTTGGAGTCGACTCATAAAAATTCGCCCTAAAAAGTAGGGCAAATTGGCCTTTTTGAAAAAACTAACCCTAAAAAATATTTTCCATGGCGATTTTTCGTAACTTTAGGGCTAGCCACCCGTATAATAAGAAAATTTTTCGTAGTTTTAGGGCGACCTCGGTTTTAGGGCGACTTTTCTAGTATTTAGGTAAAAATTTCTATGAGTGTAGTTTGCGTAGAAACGGACAGACAGACGGGCGGACAGACGGACATAGCTTGATCGACTCGTCTGGTGATGCTGATCAAGAATATATATACTTTATGGCCAGTTTTCGTTTCATTTTAAAGTCAATAGATTATAGCTTAACTTTGCCATACAGAACATTACGATTGGATAAGTGATGGCACCCCAGCAGCTCGACAAAGATGACAAATGTGTTTTTTGGTCGACTGTAAGTCGGCTGTGTATATCGTAAAAATTCGAAATAAATCCGTTGAAAAATCATAATGCGTACAAACTGACAGAGTCGAAATTTAAAATTTTTTATAGGCGGCGACATGTAAACAAAAATGAGTGGTGACGGCAGCCCCCCGCAACCGCCGCAATCTTACAAAATAATCATATAAAATCAACCGTGGGTGCAAAAAAAAAATACCCTACTGATTGTATGGCATAGCATAGCTCCATACTTTAAACCAAAAACGTATCCGATCGCATAATCGTCGTTTGCAAGGGTATTAAAACTTCGGCTCGTCGAAGTGAGCTTACGTCCTCGTTTGCTTGTTTTCTTTGAAAATGTCGTACCTAAATAACCCAAATTTTTTTAAAATAAAGGAGGAAAAAATTCTACAAAAAATGTAATTAAGTTGTTGCTCGAGGTAAAATTAATAAAAACGTTCTCAACTTTCAAGAATTTGGTGTCTTAGTTTTTTTTAAATTTGCAATTAATGAATGTTTAACTAAACCTGATAACCTTTTTGAATATCGGCTATTTGATCAAAACAGTTCGCAAAGTACACTGTAGAGCTGTTTAAATAAATAAAATATAAAACGCGTAAAAGACCATGGTAACTTATATTTGTTTTCCTTAAAATGCAGTTCCTGATAACGGAAATTGGGACAAACCTCAGAAAAGCCAGCTAACTTGCACACTATTTGACACCGTCGAGTTTGATTTTTTACCGAGTCGGACGAGAAATTAGTCTGATTGTGGAAATATTTCGTGCAATTTTTATGACTGAATATTTTATGATGACTGAGTTTTTAAACTGAGCTAGTATACGGTATTAAAAAAACAGCAGACGGACATAGTAATATCGGCTCTATAGTGATCCTGGTCAAGAAAATATATACTTTATTGGAACGTCTCCTTCATTCTGTTAACTTCAGATAGATTGTTTTTCAGAAGATGACCGACTTATTGTTTATTTCAGACGCAGACAAAGCACGTAAGCATGGGATGGAAGATTTTATAAGCACCGATCCTTGTACTTTTGACCATGCTACACTTTTCAAAACATTACAAAACCTCACACTGGAGTATAGGCTTAACGACCCATATGCATCTTTGGTAAGTTGATCAACAAATAACACCAGTTTACAAAATAAAATCGACCTCTTCCTCATCGAAGACAACCTTAATTTTCCGGTTAAGTACATTTTTTTGTATGGTGTCTATTTTTTTTCAGTGTAAAAGGTTTTTGGACCCTTTTTATTTTCTAACTTGAATTCTGATAACCTGATTTCGGTCGTCTTAGACTCATTTTACAGGTAACAGAATGTTCTTTAAACAGCATTGAGTTGCAGTCATTAGTTTAGAAGCTACACCTCGTTCGTTAAAAATACACGGTTTTCAGGTGTTTTCTTACACTTTAAAAAAACGTGTCACCATAAAATAAATTGTAAGTTCCCATTTCTTAATCAGGGAGATGTACTTACCCGGAAAATTAAGGTTGTCTTCGATGAGGAAGAGGTCGATTTTATTTTGTAAACTGGTGTTATTTTACTCACATTTTAATTTACGAATTTGGAAGAATATAAATCCTAGTTTCTGGAATTAACTTCCGATCTAGTTTGTTGTTTCATGTTTTTGAAATATTTATTTTTATTTTCAGGGGTGGTTTAGTCCTGGTCAAGTTTTCGTGTTGGACGAATATTGTGCGCGTTACGGTGTGCGGGGATGTTACCGACATTTATGCTACCTTTCTGATTTACTGGATCGTGCGGAAAAACAACATATGATAGACCCTACTCTAATTCACTATTCTTTTGCGTTTTGCGCGAGCCATGTTCACGGAAACCGGTAATGTATATTTATAAAAGTAAGTTTTACGTAAACATCTATATTAAATATTTACAGACCTGATGGAGTGGGTAGCATAACGCATGAAGAAAAGGAAAAGTTTTCAGAAATCAAAGAACGCCTACGTCAGTTACTGGAGTTTCAAATAACGAATTTTAGATACTGCTTTCCCTTTGGTCGCCCTGAAGGTGCCCTCAAAGCGACATTATCATTGCTAGAGAGAGTTCTTATGAAAGACATTGTTACTCCGGTTCCACCTGAAGAAGTTCGCCAAATGATAAAAAAAAGCTTAGAGACCGCAGCGCTTGTAAATTACACACGTCTCTCAAATAAAGCTAAAATTGAAGGTAAGAAAATTTTATTTTATATTTTGACACATTCAAGGTAAGCAACAACAACCGATCAACAGTCATTGTGAATACATTTCCGTTAAGCTAACACCTCCAAGCACAAAAGTTCGACCTTTATCGTTTCCTACATTTTGTCTTTCACTAAATACCAGAGCTTGCAAGGTTCGGTCAACCTTTTCAAAGTGTTAGGAAAAAACCTGTCACAAAAAACCCTATGACAACTGGGTGTGAGCTAACCCCTTAAAAGGGTTTTTGCTTAACAGATGTTACGCTCAGAGCAAAACCCTTTTTTTCAGAGTTATTTCGGTTTCGGTTTCTACTGACTACTTTGCTCGGTCTGTTAAGGAAAACGGTCTTTTGTGAATGTATGAGTGTGTATGTGTGACCTGTTCAGTAATGCTTCAGTCGTAACATTGCTTTTTGATTATTAAAATTCAAAAGGGTAAGGGAAAATACGTAATGTGTATTTTCTAAAGCTTAATCTGTAAGATTTACCATTCAATTCCAATATTCTACATATTTTAAATAATTTACGATCCCAAAACTCCACTTTTGGCATATCTTTCATATGTAGTAATTAATAACCAAATCCACGTAATAAGAAGCGAATCATTTAAGCCGCAAGAAAAATTAGAGCTTTTTAACAGGTTAAACCTCCTTTAGCAGTTTCAAATTTTTATACCCTTGCAGAGGGTATTATGATTTCAGTCAGAAGTTTGCAACGCAGTGAAGGAGACGTTTCCGACCCCATAAAGTATATATATTCTTGATCAGCATCACAAGACGAGTCGATCTAGCCATGTCCGTCTGTCCGTCTGTCCGTCTGTCTGTTTCTACGCAAACTAGTCTCTCAGTTTTTGAGCTATCGGGATGAAACTTTCGCAAAAGTCTTCTTTCTATTGCAGGTAGTATATATGTCGGAGCCGACCGGATCGGACAACTATAACTTGTAGCTCCCATAGGAACAATCGGAAAAAAAAAACTTTAAAAAATTCTAGCTTTGGTGTTTTTTGAAATATTACCTTCTACTTTTGGGGATGTTATTTTTAAAAATATATCTAAATTTCGAATTAATTATTTAAAAAATCGGACTACTATATCATATAGCTGCCATAGGAACGATCGGAAAATTAATGGAAAAGTAATAGGAAATAAATTCTAGCTTCTTTGGATTTTATTGTATTATCTTCTACTCTAGGATATGACTCTTTTTTAATATTTCCGAATTTCAATTTTAATTTAATCAAAATCGGATGACTATATCATATAGCTGCCATAGGAACGATCGGAAAATTAATGAGAAATATTAGAAAATTGAACATTTTTGCGATTTGTTAATTAATAGGAATGATCTGCAAGGGTATATAAGCTTCGGCTGGCCGAAGCTAGCTTCCTTTCTTGTTTTTATGTATCTTTAAATCAATTCCTAACTATTTAAGAATATCTTCACAACATTATTTGGTTTTATTCAAAATATTTCGAAAGATTTGAAGGAACGCGCGATCCATTTTGTAGGAATAGGCTTGGTTGGAATACTTTGAGCCATTTTTTATCTTAAGACTTATGGTAGTTCTCATTTATTCTTATGGTATAGCTCATTTGAAAGGTAATTCGTTTCTTTACGGCATTTCTTATTAAAGATAGTTCCTTATATAGTCAATTAATATATTGAAGCAAACAAAAAAATAGCAGCTAACCTATATTCAGAATACAATTTTATATACATTTATATGTACAATGCAATTTTAGAATTATATTGATTTCCTATGTAAAATTTATGCACATACCACAGCAGGCCTATACTTTTTCCTTTCTAGAGAAAACCCATTTTTTTGACTTTTATTTAACAGTAGTCTTTCAGAAACCCTTTTAGGTGACTGTTAACTTAAAAGGGTCTCACCGAGTGGTTATTGAAAGACCGATTGCTTTGTTCGGTTGAGCCGAACGGTCGGACCGAAACCGACAGGCAAAACTAAAAAAGGGTTCCGCTCAGAGAGAGAGTTTGTGAGCAACATTTTTTTCGGTTTTGTCGAGATTAAACTGCCTCAGGAAAATCGGTTGACAGTTATTTGCAAGCTCTGCTAAATACATATATATTTTTATACCCGTTACTCGTAGAGTAAAAGAGCAAACGAGTGTAACAGGGAGCAAAAGTATGTAACAGGGAGAAGGACGCGCTGTCGACACCATAAAGTATACATATATTCTTTATCAGGATCACTAGCCGAGTCGATCTAGCCATGTCCGTCTGTCTGTCTGTCTGTCTGTCCGTCTGTGTGAACGCCGAGATCTCGGATACCACAAAAGCTAGAAAGTTGGGATTACCCACACATCTCCATCTCCCTTGCACTCCCTTAGCTAAGTGACGGGTATCTGAAAGTCGGGGCACCCAGTTATAGCGTTCTCTCTTGTTTAATCTGTGTTAGTTAATTAGTACTAGTGATTGTGCCTGAGTCCCTCGATTTTGGTCGATAATAATGCAATTACAAAAGAACCATGCATTTCCGCCGATAATCTTCTTGTATATATATTCTTGATCAGGGTCACTAGGCGAGACGATCTAGCCATGTCCGTCTGTCCGTCCGTATGAACACTGAGATCTCGGAAACTACAAAAGCTAGAAGGCTGAGATTTTCTACACATATTCTTGGGCCTCTTACGCAGCGCAAGTATTTCAGCCGAGCGCCACGCCCCCTCTAACGCCCACAGTCGCCCACTAACGATTTTAAAATGTGTCCTGCGCCCACATCTTTAAGGATTTCCGAGAAGTATAAATGCAATTTTGTTGTGTATATTTATACCTATCGAAATGTAGAAGACATTTTTCAAATCGGACCATTCATTAAAAAGTTATAAATTACGATTATAGTCGGACCACCAACCCGCGTACAGCGTTCGCACTCCCTTTAGCTGAGTGACGGGTATTAAATAGTCGGGACACCAACCCGACTATAGTGTTCTCTCTTGTTTTTGTATAATCTTAAGATCTTAACCTACCAGAAAAATTGGCTTGTTTTGGTTTAACGAACTAAAAAAAGCACAGACAATGGCAGAGCGGTTAGCATTTTCCAGTCCGTCAATATTATGCACTACAAGTTTGAAAAAGTAATCTGAATTCGTAATGGAGACCATTGTTTCCCGATTACTAGATGTAAAGTATTGCATTCGTAATCCATTTTGTATTGGCATTCTTTGACGCTGGGTAGCCGTTAAATATTTATCAACTTTAAATATTTGCTAAAAATATTTTGTCGTCTTTAAAGCATTTTTTTTCCACCTAAACGATTTATTACTTTTTATCGCGTCCATTCCAGTCACGGTTGACCCTCTTTTGGAGGGTCAAACGTGGTTTTTAAGATATAGTTTATTTTGCAATATTGCTTAGAGTTCTTATTAGAATACGTTCCCCCTACGATTTATCTCTTACAAATCGACCCAGTCTAATATATATATTTTCAATATATATTCACTAAGTCTATGCAAAATGAATTCAAGCAAATAAGTCACTCAAAATAAGTAAACCAGAAAAGGACCAAACTTTAATTCGAGGAAATCGTTTGGAATCGGAATTGGAAAATCTTAAAATCTATATTTCTTTCGCTTATTTCACAGAGGACTTGCGAGGAGAAGTTATTGTGCCAGCCCCGAAAAAATTGGAGGACTTAATACACTTAGCAGAACTTTGTGTTGATTTGTTGCAACAAAATGAGGAACATTATGGAGAAGTAAGTTAGGCTATATCCATATTATGCATATGCCTATTTTTTACCAAATTAATTTAATTTATTAATGTGTACATAGATGTATGTAATTTTATAAATTGTATGTACTCCTTTCAACAAATTCATGTTGTAAATATTTTTCAAGAAATTAATGCACATTTTTAGGTTTCAGTATCTTGGCTCAGTTTCTTTTGTATTTTTCAATTAGTTCATCGGCTTGTTATTTTAAATAAACCTATGTTTATGTCGTATATTAATCAAAAGTACAAATGTCGTGAATTTCTAACTTCTTTCTGTTATCGTTTATGTTGATAATGTATATAAATGTATCGTTTATGTTGATAATGTATATAAATGTATCGTTTATGTTGATAATGTATATAATTGTAAGATATATATATTTTTTAATGAATGACGTATACTAAATGCATATACCATTATGTTATAATATATTTTAAATGCGTATATGTTTTGTGTTAGTTGACTGTTGCGAAAAAAACAATTGGGGTGTCCAATAGCGTTGCAAACTTTGTTACAACTTTACAACGTGTGCAACGCAATTGAACACCCTAAATATATTTCCTCATATGTATATATATGTAACTAAATAATATAACTAAGACCAACTTTTGGTAGGGACTCTCACAATTAAACGCTGTTAAAATTTTTTTACCAATTTGTCTTATGATAATAAGTCAATCTTTATTCCAAAAAAATATAAATCATTTGCTGTGTGTTATTATTATAAGAGTGCTTTTTTAATATATTTTGAAGTTTTTGGAATTAGGTTCCGACGGTTAAGACATTCGTTTTAACGTGTTTCAAACTAACCTTAAGTAATATTAAGCAATACCAACAGTAGTAATTAAAAAAAAATTGTTTTTAATTTATTTTGATATATTTTCTCTCGTTTGTAACAAATTCGACGGATTTTATGTAACTAAATACGGTGTACTGAATCCCTACAAAATGACCCTCATGCCTACATACAAAAATATTTGTTCTATATCGATGTGTTGCTGTTAAATCCGAGCAGCACCAAACAATCATTTCTAAAAGTCTGCTTTTGCTTCTACTGCTACTTCTGAAAAATATAAAAGTCAAAGTAAAAGCAACGACAAATTCTGCCTAGAACAAAAGGTTATGTTTACAGGGGACCGAAAAATATAAATTCGTTACATACACTGGCGGAAGAAAAAAAAATCATGTTTCATTAAGATTGGTCCAAAACTGTCTAAAATACGATTAGCGAGACATTAATGATTAGATTTAAGTTCTTTGGAAATTTGTATAAAAATTGTGGTTTTCGGCAAAGTAGGTATTTTTATCAGATACTAAACAAAAAATATTTTAAAAAATGATTGCATTTTTAGTCAGAAGTTTGTAATGCGGTGAAAGAGGCGTTTCTGACCAAAATTATATATATTCTTGATAAGCACCAATAGCCGAGTCCATCTAGCCATGTCCGTCTGTCCCTTTCTCTCAGTTTTAAAGCTATCGCGATGAAACTTTCCCAAAAGTCTTCTTTCTATATCTTAAGGCTCCCATAGGAATATTCAAACAAATACAAGAAAACTTTGTAACTTTGTAGGAAGTAGACGTTTTTATTTTTGACAACTTAAAAACAAAATTTTAATAGGCACGCAGAATCTGGAATCCCTGGAAGTGCACCGATAGAGTGAGCATTAAACTATAGGTATTTACTGTATCTGGCACCAAAAAATCGACTAGCTCTGCGACTTTTTTTATAAAAACTGGTGGGATGGACTTAATTCAAACCTTTAATATATTTTTAAGGGCCATTTTAATAACATCCACTAATTTTTATAGCCGATACTATGGGCTAATATATCGGTGGCAATGCGATTGCTGGAACACTATTAAAAAAAGGCGTTTTGCAGTGTTCACTGTACCTCCGCTAAAAATGATCGAATTTCCATTTTGTTTTTACATTTCGCTTAAGAATTAAAAAAAACCCGACCCCTGGGAAGCCCTTTTTTTAATTTTTTTATTTTTAAGAATTTTTTTCGAAAGTCCAAAGTCAAAAAACTATATTTTTTTTTTGCAAGACCCTAACCCCCCTCCCCTCGTTAAAAGTATCATAAGACACCAACGCTACACCTTTTTTACGGAATAATGGATGGATGCTATCCCTGCAGGAAAAATGCGAACTAGTCTGAAAAACAACTAGTTATACAACTAATATAAAGCAACCGGAATTTGTCTGAATGCATTTGGACTACACAGGGTCTAGAAAATTTGTGCTAGTCGAAAAAATGATTAATACAAAACTAGTAATAAAGAAACTTGTCTCGGACTAGTACCTTTCTGACAAAAAAAAACTTAAAAATATTTAACTGGTAGAACAAATACATGTTAGGGTCTAGTTAAAAGGCAACTGGAATTTAACTAGTTGCAAATGAAACACATATGATCCAAAAATATAGCCTAGAGTGTAAATGCCTTGGGAAATTTAACGGTTCAACCCCCAGTCTCTGTACATTTTTTTTTGTTTTTTGTTTGCTAGGTGATGCTTTAGTTTTATTTAAAACTTTGTTTAATCTGTCCGAGGCAAAATATATGTGAAAAATCGCTGTTTTTGAATTATGTCACACTAAAATTCATAAACCTTGTTAGGGCAATACAAAATGTGATGCGTGTATGGCACAATCAGTTAGTGTGTCTACAAATCCAAAGGTCCCGGGTTCAAGTCCTAGAGAGGGCGACTTGCCTCAAAAAAAGTAAGTTTGTTTTAATTCCATTTAATTATCATTTACTGTATTTGATTACATAATAATTATCAGAAATTCTCTAAGGACCGCGCCTATTGATTGGATACTAAATTAGGATAGCGTCAAGTTAGGCATCGTCAAGTACTAGTGAAATTCAATAATTTTTAGTTTTTTCGTGAAAATATTTTTTTCAGTGTAGTTTAACAGCTGTAACGTAAATTGGTTAACAGTAACTAGTGCAAAACTAGTAGCAAATGGACTAGTTGTTTCCGACGACAAGCATATGAAAAATGGACCACTTCGTTACAAGGAAATGGACATAACTTTAACTAGTTAACCTTCTTGACCCAACTAGTATATAAATGGTCCAAAACTGATTCCGTTTCCTGCAGGGATATTTTTGAATTCCTCACGAATTCCCAAGTTAAACTGTGTTTTCCAAAAAGTTCCCCGACGAAAGGATTCTGAGCACAAGGACCTCAACGTTCCAAAAATGCTGAAATTGGCCATTGTTCCGGAGGTCTCAGAGGCACATGGATTCAAGGTTTGTTTTGATGTAAAAGTTGTTTAAAATATACACTCTTTTTCTTTCAAACCCCTTAGGGCCTGTCCATATATTACGTAATCACAATTTCGGACATTTTTTTTTTATACACATTTGCAATATACACATTTTATATATACTTTATGTGGTCGAAATTACAATACCCTCTGCAAGGGTATAAAAACATAAAAGTATACAGCTGCGGGCAAAATAGTAGTAGTGTTGCCGCCCTGTGCTTTCAAAAGTTTGTTTTAACTTTTCTTATCCAATTAGTCTAATAGTACAATTATAGTCAATACAATATTACCAGAAAAAGATATATTACAGCAACAAATTTTTTAAAAACACAGGGCGGCAACACTACTACTATTTTGACCGCAGCTGTATGCTTTATGTTTTTTTTATAGTGTATTTAGACTACTAGAATAATTTTCGAATATTCAAGAATGATGCAAGGCGTTTACATTATAGATGCGGCTTTAAATCATACGAATTTGAAGAAAAATGACATAAAAGTCGGGGGTTACTTTTGTATTCCTTTACATTTTCTAGTAAATTTTTGAACCTTCGTCAAAAATTCGAGAAAATTTTCTCTTCTTCTCCACAGGGTTCCTATGGAAAAAAAAAATCAGAACATTCTACTTTGCGTCGCACGTCAATGATTCGCCCAGTCTAAACACACTACTACTATGTTTTCTAGAATTTGTTTCTCCCTTTAAAAAAATCCCAATATTATTCTAAGTACGGTGTTTGAAAGATAACTTTAACATCAAAACAAACCAAGAATCCGTTTGCCTCTGAGACCTCCGGAAAGTTGGCCAATTTTAGCATTTTTCAATCTTTGAGGTCCTTGTGCTAAGAATCCTTGCGTCGGCGAATTTTTTGGAAAACGCAGTTTAACTTGGGAATTCGTAAAGAATTTAAAATTTAAAAAATCATTTATTTTGTTGCACAGTGTTATTATCTGGTCCAAACAAATGGGGGTTGCTTAAATCAATAATCATTTTTAGGGAATAAAACCAGAACCGGAACCGAAACCGATAACCGAAATAAACCAATTCCTAATAGAGAACCGGATCCTGTACCGAGACCAAAATAAAAATTTAATTTCGAACCGATTAACGTATTGCTGGTACCGGTACGGTTTTGGTACTCTATTACTGAATTCTTTTGAAATCCTGAATAAAAAATACCCATAAGTATGCATCACTCCCACTTTCCGCTAATCGACTTCATCCCGTCCCTTTTTAGCAGATGTACTGCTCATGTAAGAAAATATTGCTGTAGCTTGTTCGGCCAGCCGAAGTTTATATACCCTTGCAGGTATGCCGTTGTTTTTACAATGTCAAAAATCAAAACGCGTACTTTTTACAAAGTTACAATGGTTTTCCTATTATTTTTTTGAATATTTTTATGGGAGCCATAAGATATAGTGGTCCGATCCGGCTCGTTCCGACATATGTACTACCTGCAATAGAAAGAAGACTTTTGGAAAAGTTTCATCGCGATAGCTTTAAAACTGAGAGACTAGTTCGCATAGAAACGAACAGACGGACAGACGGACATGGTTAGATAGACTCGGCTATTGATGCTGATCAAGAACATATAGTTTGTGTAGTCGGAAACGTCTCCTTCACTGCGTTGCAAACTTTTGACTGAAATTATAATACCCTCTGCTAGGGTATAAAAATCAATTTAAATGATCTTACATTCAAGTATTTGTTCCATATAAAACTCATATAACTAATTTCAAAGTATTAATTGAAATTTTTTTAACTGTACCGGTACGTACCTGTACCAGAACAGGAACCAAAACATCAATACCGAAATATAACCGGTTACCGAACAAGCAGAATCGGTATGGGACCTGTACCGAAACCGGAACCCATTATTATCATCCTTCTTACGCTATCTTCTGACATGCACATTACACGCTTTTATACCCTTGCAGAGTGTAAAATAATTTCAGTCAGAAGTTTCCAACGCATTGAAGGAGACGTTTCCGACCCTATTAAGATATATATTCTTAAACAGCATCACTAGACGAGTCGAAATAGCAATGTCCGTCTGCCCGTTTCTACGCAAACAGTCTCTTAGTTTTTAAGCTATGGGGATGAAACTTTTACAAAAGTCTTCTTTCTATTACAGGCTGTATATAATTAGGAACCAGCCGGATCGGACAACTATTTCATATAGCTCCAATACACAGTACAACATGAAAAATGTAACCGCAATTTTGATTTCTTGGGCGGAAAGTACTCATCGAAATAATCTAAAACCCATTTGGGGTTCTCTGGCTTAGCTCAGCACCAATAGCCGAGTCTATCTAGCCATGCCCGTCTGTCCGTTTCTATGCGAACTAGTCTCTCAGTTTTAAAGCTATCGCAATGAAACTTTCCCGAAAGTCTTCTTTCTATTTCAGGTAGTACATATGCCGGAGCGAGCCGGATCGGACCACTATATCTTAAGGCTCCCATAGGAATATTCAAAAAAATATAAGAAAATTCATTGTAACTTTGTAGGAAGTACGCGTTTTGATTTTTGACAACTTAAAAAAAAATTTAAATAGGCACGCTGAATCTGGAATCCCTGGAACTGCACCGAGTGAGCATTAGACTATAGGTATTTACTTTATCTGCAAGGGTATATAAGCTTCGGCTGACCGAAGCTAGCTTCCTTTCTTGTTTTTAATAATTAAGCTTCGGCTGGCCGAAGTTAGCTTCCGTTTTTGTTTTTACTTGAGTCTCACAGCTTTTGCGTTAAACAACTAATGGCCTCCATGACTCTCATAGCTCTTTAGTAAGAGCTATTCATATATTCATCAGCAGGGATCGAATTATATAAATCATTACTTTTAAGAATCAATTTCATTTTTGTATCTAAACGTTTACAGCATAAAAAAATTTTTATTGGCTTCAAAACGCTAATTTTCCATTTTAGAAAATGTGTATTAGTCAAATGAACATTTATTAATTTTTGTTGAAAAAAAAATATTTTCTTTTTGTCATTCTGAAATCAGCTAAAATCTTAATTATATAATTTACTCGTAGAGAAAATGGGTATATTGTATTTGTCTGAAAGTAAGTAACAGGTAAAATATAGCTTTTCCGAACCTATAAAATCATGATGTTGATATGTATCTTATGAACTTTTTGTTCTCAAATTAACCGCAAAGTGTTATTTCTGTAATAATATTTCGGTAAAATTTAATGAACGTCAACAATCGGGCTTAAGCAATTTTTGACCCCGCCAGCCTAATGTTCGGCGGATAGTTTCCTTGGGAAGTTTTCCGAAATTAACAGTAAAATCCGCAGCCGTGCAGTTCGTTGGAAGTGAGTCCCGGAACAGGTCTTGGAAATTCGAACCCATGTGAATCCGATTAAGTGATCGGCTTAGTACAATCGAAGATAAAGAGGTTTAAACAAAAACGTATTTTTTTAACAATTATTTTTTTATTTAAAAAACATTACTCATATAAGTATGTAAAAAATGGAAATCAAAAAAGTATTATTTGCGTACAAGGTTTAGGCTCAAAAAAGTGAAACATTTTAAAAAGTATAACGCTTCATACCGATTTTGGTAAAACGTTTAACATTCATTTTTAAATCCGTTTGTCTCTTTTTTGCACCTAAAAAGTAGCAAGGGAACATATGTAATATTTCGTCTCAAAACTAATTATCTTTTTTATACCCTTGTATAATGATTTCAATTAGAAGTTTGTAACGCCGTGAAGAAGACGTTTCGGACCCCATAAATTATATGTATTCTTGAACAGCATCACTAGACGAGTCAATCTAGCCAAGTCCGTTCTTCTGTCCGTTTCTAAGTTTTTAAGCTATCGAGGCACATTGTATGATATTATACCTCAGATTTCGAGCGTACTGGGATGGGTGCTGTTTCTGAGATATCTGTCCAAAATTTTCCAAAATCAACATGCCTACTTAAAATCAAGAACTCTACAATTGTTATAAACTTTTTATGGTCGGAAACGTATCCTTTAATGCGGTGTAAACGTCTGACGGAAATTATAATTCTCTCTGCAAGGGTATGAAAAAGAATTATTGAAACAAAACGAAAATATACAATAAAAACGTATTTAAATATCGTGTATAAAACATGCAAGTTTTGCCTGTTCTTATAAAATCAAATTAAAACAATATACCATTTTACTGAGGAAATTAAGAAGAATTGTTTATTTTTATAGATTTATTAATAAATGAAATGTATATTGGTTTTTTAATAGATTCTTTCTAAAGTTGCAGAACAGTGTGAATGCAACACTATATATCTGTATACGTTACTTAAAATAGATGAAGATTTGTATATACTTACACCTATTTAACACCTATGCCCGATTTATTTAGCTGCGCAAACATGACAAAATGGATAAAAGTAAAATACGTAAGGAAGATGGTGATGTATCAGGAGGCCACAATGAAAGCGATGTTAATTTAACAGCCGGTACTGGACTCACTAGCACATCTGAACTGGCTTCTGCAGCATCAACTGATGGATCGTCATTTCGTTATTGTATGCCGACACATGCAGTATATACCACGCCAGTACCAACGGCATGTATCGTTGATAACCATAGGTTTAATAACAATAGACATGGCAATTAGCCCGACTTGGGTTTTCATGATTGATTTGGCACCTTCTGCAAATTCCCCTAAATCATACCGAATTGGAAGCGTTTTAAATGCCTTAAAGACTTTGTCTCGCGCTATGACTGTTGTCTATCAAACAATTTTCGAAAAAACGGCATATCAAACTCCGTAAATATTGAAAAAACTATAAAGAAAATGAATTGTTCCTTTCCAAATTGGCCCGGCTTGGGTTGTCATGATTGATTTATCACCTTCTGCAAATTTCCAACAATCATACGTGAGTTGGGAGCGTTTTAAATTCTTTGAAGTCTTTGTCTCACGCTATGACTGCAGGGACAGCTTGCCAACATTTTTCAAAAACACAACAAGTCAGCAAATTTTAAAGCAAATTTGAAGTATCCCTCCAAAGTTTTCTAACTATACCGAATTTATACAGAACGGGGGATGTCATAAGGATTTTTGAACTCTCTATAGCGTGTTTGTTTGGAGGAAATCCACATGAAATCATAGGAAAAAAAACTAATTTTTCTTAAAACTTAACTGTTCTAGGAAGAATAACAAAATATGAAAAATTCCACATAATAATTATATACAGAACGACTCGCCAAAAAATTGAAAAAATTTTCTAACCTTGCACAGTGGGCCAGAAAGTTTATTTTTTGGCCAAAAATTTGCGTTTTTTTTTTCTTAAAAGATTAAACATTTCAACTAACTAAAAGTAAAATTTCTTGGAATTTTAGATAATATAGATAATCCAAACCAAAGTCGGAAAATCTTACGTACTTTTCGGTTTATTATTTAAAAAAAAATAACTAGAAGACGCACTCAATCCATTTTTATCAACGATAATGCAACAAACTACAAAAAATTAACGTCACTATTAAATATTATGTCGTTTAAGATTTATGAACCGTTAAAAACTGCAACTTTCGGAGGCTCCCACATCAACGTTTACCAAACAATCGATTTTAAAAATATGTATATTTTTTTTTTCTTGTTTTCTCTTAAGATTTTTATAATCAAATTATTAAAAAAAATTGTTTTAGAAATATGGTTTTTTAATTTGTTTAATGTTAATTTGACATATTCTGAAGTAGATTTAGTAGATTTTAGGTGTTAGTCCCACTAAAATCAAATTTTGGCGCGCAAAATGTTCACTAAGACCTGAAAAAAAAGTACGGCATACTTTTGAGCTCTCTTAGCAAAGCTCATACAAATGGCTCGACTTCAATTTAAGCCTTCAATTAAGACTTTAATTAACGAAAACTAAGGCAAAACCGTATCGAGTCGGCAGTATAAGCTTTTAGTAAATTGATCAACAATTTTTTTTTGAAGAAATGAACTAATTTGGGGATGGCACTCAAAGGCATCTGAAAAGCAAAGTACTCATTTGCTAAAAAAAGCCGTAAAAATCAACAAATACATTTATTTTAGGAAACAAGTAAGACATACGACCTATATTATATTTTTTATTTGTTGAAAGTAATCACATCTACAAGTTTCGTGAAGAGTCGAACAGCTACATCAGCATCTTTGGCTTCAAGGTTTTTTTTTATTTCCATCAATATTTGATGAATTTCCCACTTTGAAAATACGGTAAAAGAAAACTACTTGCCCGAATTCTTTAAAATTTTGGCATAAATTAGTTTAATGTATTATGAAAAGGATTTCAAACTTATATTGGTCATTTTCTTCCTAAAAAAAATGGTATTTTTGGCCCAAAAACGGATCGGCTGGCCCAATAAGCCTTGGTAGAAAAGCTTGCCAAGCTTGCGGTGTTTGTAGTTATAAATAATATTATTTATTTATGAGAGAATTCCGGGGCAAAATAACACAACTTTTAATTTTTTTTTCAAAATAATCGCTGAGACTAATTTTTTCGTTTGGCTTTAAGTCGCTAATCACGCTGAACAAATTCAAAAAAATTAAAAAAAAAATCGGAAAAATCCAATTTTTCTGCCCTTCAGATTTTGAAAGCGGTTTAACCACCAAAAAACCTTTTTAAAAGTGTTATACAAAAAAAAAACCTTTTTTTCCTAAGGGGATATGTGCTTTGCAAAATTCCGCACCGGACAGCTGCAATTGCCAATTAAATAATTATTATTTTTAAGTTTTTTTCAGGGAACGTAACTGTTATAAGTTTTATTTTAAAAATCACACTTTAACAGTTATTTTCTGATTTGTAAAGTAAAACTCAAAGAATAACTGTTATTTTTTGAGTTTTATAATAAAAGTTGACAAATAACAGTTATTCGTCGTGATCAAAATAAAACTCAAACTTGATTTATGGCGATTTTGTGGGTAAACAAAATTTTAAAAAAATATAGGTATAAAATATGCGCGGTTGCCTTTTTTAACAAATTTTTAGTAAGTTATAAAAAGCACGGGTATTATGTTTTTTTAATTATTTCATTTTTTTAAAAATGTCAAGGGAATAACTGTTATTCATAAAAATCAAAAAATAACAGTTATTTTTTGAGTTTTATTATAAAAATCAAAAAATAAAAATCATTACGGATTTGTAAACTACAATGGCTAATAAAAATTGTGGTGTATTTAAAAAATTTTTAGGACCCTTCTAAGAGCGTGATTTTTATACCCTTGCAGAGGGTATTATGATTTCAGTCAGAAGTTTGCAACGCAGTGAAGGAGACGTTTCCGACCCCATAAAGTATATATATTCTTGATCAGCATCACAAGACGAGTCGATCTAGCCATGTCCGTCTGTCCGTCTGTCCGTCCGTCTGTCCGTCTGTCCGTCTGTCCGTCTGTCCGTCTGTCCGTCTGTCTGTTTCTACGCAAACTAGTCTCTCAGTTTTTGAGCTATCGGGATGAAACTTTCCCAAAAGTCTTCTTTCTATTGCAGGTAGTATATATGTCGGAGCCGACCGGATCGGACAACTATATCTTATAGCTCCCATAGGAACAATCGGAAAAAAAAAACTTTAAAAAATTCTAGCTTCGGTGTTTTTTGAAATATCACCTTCTACTTTTGGGGATGTTATTTTTTAAATATATTTGAATTTCGAATTAATTATTTAAAAAATCGGACTACTATATCATATAGCTGCCATAGGAACGATCGGAAAATTAATGGAAAAGTAATAGGAAATAAATTCTAGCTTCTTTGGTTTTTATTGTATTATCTTCTACTCTAGGATATGACTCTTTTTAAATATTTCCGAATTTCAATTTTAATTTAATCAAAATCGGACGACTATATCATATAGCTGCCATAGGAACGATCGGAAAATTAATGAGAAATATTAGAAAATTGAACATTTTTGCGATTTGTTAATTAATAGGAATGATCTGCAAGGGTATATAAGCTTCGGCTGGCCGAAGCTAGCTTCCATTCTTGTTTTGTATGAAAAATTTACAATAACAGTTATTTTCGTTCCCTGGTTTTTTTTTAATTTTAATAAAAAAATTATTATTGTGCGAGTGTTAAAATAAAACCCATAATAATGATGGCCCTGAAAAATTCATTTTTATACCCTTGCAGAGGGTATATTAATTTCAGTCAGAAGTTTGCAATGCAGTGAAAGAAACGTTTCCGACCCCATCACCAAACGAGTCGATCTAGCCATGTCCGTCTGTCGGTCCGTCTGTCTGTCCGTTTCTACGCAAACTAGTCTCTCAGTTTTAAAGCTATCGGCTTAAAACTTTCCCAAAAGTCTTCTTTCTATTGCAGGTAGTATATAAGTCGGAAGCGACCGGATCGGACAACTATATCTTATAGCTCCCATAGGAAGGAAACGTTAAAAAATTCTAGCTCCGTTGTTTTTTGAAATAAAACCTTCTCTTGGAAATGGTGTTTTTTAATTTCCGAATTTCGAGTAAAATATTTAAAAAATCGGACGACTATATCATATAGCTGCCATAGGAACGATCAAAAAAAATTCTAGCTTTAGTGTTTTCTTGATATATTAACTTCTACTCTTGGGAATGTTATTTTTTAAATATTTATGAATTTCGAATAAAATTTAGAAAAAATCGCGACACTATATCATATAGCTGCCTTAGGAACGATCGGAAAATTAAATGCAAGTTAATAGGAAACAAATTATTGCTTCGTTGGTTTTTATTGTATTTTCTTCTACTCTAGGATATGTCTCTTTTTAAATATTTCCGAATTTCGGTTTTAATTTTATCAAAATTGAACTACTATATCATATAGCTGCCATAGGAACGATCGGAAACTTAATGAAAAATACTAGAAAATTGAACATTTTTGCGATTTGTTAATTAATGGGAATGATCTGCAAGGGTATATAAGCTTCGGCTGGCCGAAGCTAGCTTCCATTCTTGTTTTGTATGAAAAATTTACAATAACAGTTATTTTCGTTCCCTGGTTTTTTTTTAATTTTAATAAAAAAATTATTATTGTGCGAGTGTTAAAATAAAACCCATAATAATGATGGCCCTGAAAAATTCATTTTTATACCCTTGCAGAGGGTATATTAATTTCAGTCAGAAGTTTGCAATGCAGTGAAAGAAACGTTTCCGACCCCATCACCAAACGAGTCGATCTAGCCATGTCCGTCTGTCGGTCCGTCTGTCTGTCCGTTTCTACGCAAACTAGTCTCTCAGTTTTAAAGCTATCGGCTTAAAACTTTCCCAAAAGTCTTCTTTCTATTGCAGGTAGTATATAAGTCGGAAGCGACCGGATCGGACAACTATATCTTATAGCTCCCATAGGAAGGAAACGTTAAAAAATTCTAGCTCCGTTGTTTTTTGAAATAAAACCTTCTTCTCTTGGAAATGGTGTTTTTTAATTTCCGAATTTCGAGTAAAATATTTAAAAAATCGGACGACTATATCATATAGCTGCCATAGGAACGATCAAAAAAAATTCTAGCTTTAGTGTTTTCTTGATATATTAACTTCTACTCTTGGGAATGTTATTTTTTAAATATTTATGAATTTCGAATAAAATTTAGAAAAAATCGCGACACTATATCATATAGCTGCCTTAGGAACGATCGGAAAATTAAATGCAAGTTAATAGGAAACAAATTATTGCTTCGTTGGTTTTTATTGTATTTTCTTCTACTCTAGGATATGTCTCTTTTTAAATATTTCCGAATTTCGGTTTTAATTTTATCAAAATTGAACTACTATATCATATAGCTGCCATAGGAACGATCGGAAACTTAATGAAAAATACTAGAAAATTGAACATTTTTGCGATTTGTTAATTAATGGGAATGATCTGCAAGGGTATATAAGCTTCGGCTGGCCGAAGCTAGCTTCCTTTCTTGTTTTTCGGTTCCTAATCCAGTGCTGCCATCACTTAGCTTGAGAAACAGGACAGATAAACCACAAAAAACAAGGAAAAAAAGGACAAAAAATTTTTAAAAAGGACAAAAAAAAGGACAAAAGTAAATGTTCCTACATTTTTTTGTTTTTACCAATGATTTCTATATTTACTTAATATAAATGGATTTTAAATAAAATTCAATTATGTTATGATCTACTGCGCCCGACTCACAACCATCTTTGTTTGATCATTTTACCATGGTTAATTTTTGTGCGTATACGTAATAATCTAAAATTATTGAAATAACACTAGTTTACAAAATAAAATCGACCTCACCTAATCGAAGGCAACCTTAATTTTCCGGTAAAGTACATCTTCCTGATTATGGTGTCAAAAAGTTTTGGCATAAATGGCTTTGTTAAAAATACACGCAAAAAAACCGAAATTAGTTTTATAACTTATTCTGGTAGATGGTACTTTGACAAAAAAACAAGCTAATGATCATTAGAATCCACCAGAAAATGAATTTTATATGAATATTTTAAGTTTGGGACAACCATGATTTTTTGGCCGTTTACAGCTGTTAACTGAGACAACAGGTCTCTGACAGGGCTCTAACAGGGCTGTAATATCCGTTTTGCCCAACTTAAAAAATCGATATAAAATTCATTTTCTGGTGGATTCTAATGATCATTAGCTTGTTTTTTTTTGTCAAAGTACCATCTACCAGAATAAGTTATAAAACTAATTTCGGTTTTTTTGCGTGTATTTTTAACGAAGCCATTTATGCCATTTGAATTTTTTTCAAATTTTTTAACTTTGACGAGGTGTGGCTTCTAAACTAATGACTGAAACTCAATGCTGTGTATGAGAAAATGAGTCATCGATGAGCTCAGTCGGTTTACCAGAACTCGAGATAAAAAATAAAAAAGGGCCAAAAACGTTTTTTACACTTAAAAAAAAATTGACACCATACAAAAAATTATAAGTGCCCATTTCTTAATCAGGGAGATGTACTTTACCGGAAAATTAAGGTTGCCTTCGATTAGGGTGAGGTCGATTTTATTTTGTAAACTAGTGTAATTAATGCATATCAAGTAACTATATTCGTAATACAAAAAAATTAAATATCTGCGTCAAACCCGAAAAAGAGTCGTTCAAATCTGAATTTTTTTCTGACAATAAAAACAGAGAGTAAAAATTAAGAAATTTTAAAAGTGCTTTCCTAATTTTTTTGCTACAGAAAAAATCGTACTATAAAGAAAATCCATCGACTGCTTTACGTCTCTTTGATAATTTGTAAAAATAATTTTTTTTAAAGTGCTGAACTGAAAAAATGATGGTTAAAAAGGCATTTTAGCATATAAAAACAGGTTTCGACTAGCAAAAATAACACTCAAAACCTTATTTTTGAAAAAAGGACAGATTTCCGGATAGGGGATGTTTGAAATTTTTTCCGGATAAAGCCGTTAAAAAAAGGACAGATCTGTCCGGAAAGAGGACAAAATGGCAGCACTGTCCTAATCCATAACACGTATGGAGTTCTTGTCTAACTATGGGTTTTCTATTTTATTCAAAAATGTATTATTTAAAAAAATGTATTTGCAAATTCTTTAGAAGAAGAGGAAATTTTATGAAATGTCCAATACTAAATTTTTATTGAAATGTCCAATACAATACTTTTTTTGATCAGAATAATTTAGAAAAATAATCTTAAAAATTGTTTTTTTTTTAAGACAGTTACATAGTTACTAGCAAAAATAACACTCAAAACCTTATTTTTGAAAAAAGGACAGATTTCCGGATAGGGGATGTTTGAAATTTTTTCCGGATAAAGCCGTTAAAAAAAGGACAGATCTGTCCGGAAAGAGGACAAAATGGCAGCACTGTCCTAATCCATAACACGTATGGAGTTCTTGTCTAACTATGGGTTTTCTATTTTATTCAAAAATGTATTATTTAAAAAAATGTATTTGCAAATTCTTTAGAAGAAGAGGAAATTTTATGAAATGTCCAATACTAAATTTTTATTGAAATGTCCAATACAATACTTTTTTTGATCAGAATAATTTAGAAAAATAATCTTAAAAATTGTTTTTTTTTTAAGACAGTTACATAGTTACATAGTATACTTGGCATCGTTTGACACTATTACATGATTACAAAAAATAATCATGGCATCGCCAACTTGATTTCTTTTACTCGTGGCATTGCATCGTATTGTGCAGGGGTCTACTGCTTACACAAATAAGTTATACAAAAAGCTTTTTGAAACTTTTTAGCGAAACAAACAATAACACATTTAAACCATATTTAAATTACCAATCAATTGCCGCAAATGCAAATTTAGTTATACCCGTTACTCTAAGACTAAAAGGGTATATTGTATTCGTGCAAAAGTATGTAACAGTTAGAAGGAAGCATTTCAGACCCTATAAAGTATACATATTCTTTATCAGAATCACTAGCCGTGTCGATATAGCCTGTCTGTCTGTCTGCCTGTTTGTCTGTATTAAGGGGGGAGATACATTGCAATTTCTTCATGTTGTAATTTTTTTTTAAAGCAGGTTTTGTGGTGGTATTTAGCAACTTGGCATGATAATTACATTGTTCATATAAAATTTTAACCAATTTTTATTTGTTTTTTATCTTTTAAAATAGCGGCCGTGGCCATTTTTTCGTCAGACTATATTAAAGAATAGTAGGCCAGCTGCGGATCATCCACAGGTCGCTGTGAAGATTCGATTTATTTGAACCTGTCTGATCCTAACATACATAGAATATCTAAAAAACTCTGGTTGTGGCACTCTTTCAAAGTCAAAAAAACAATTTTTTAAATTTTTTGTTTTTACTTTAAAAAAATACTTGATCGTACAAATTTGGACATAAAGTAGGTTCAGACAGTCGGCAATTTCATTAGAAAACATGGTTTCGAGAAAAACGACGGTGTTTCACGCAGAAGCTTTACTGTTTTGTTCAATCTCCCTTGTACTCCCCTTATCTGAGTAACAGGTATTTGATAGTCGAGACATTCGCAGCGAAAGCCAAGTTTTTAAAAAGTAGTCCTTTATAAATCAAATTTAAGTCGCATTACTGAATCCCGTATAAACCAACTATGTGCCAATTTATATAACCATGCTTATAAAAGCTTAAAAAAGCGTCTACAGGCCGCTGTGTAGATCCGATGCTTATGAAACCAAGTTTTTTTTGTTAAGAAATAATGTCTGAACCTAACTTACATAGAATATCTTAAAAACTATGGTTGTGGTACTCTTTCAAAGTCAAAAATCCATTTTTTTCATAATTTTATACCTATTGAAATGTAGAAGACATTTTTCAAATCGGACCATTCATTAAAAAGTTATGCGCAATCAAAATGTTATATATCCATCTCCCTCGCACTCCCTATAGCTGAGGGACTGGTATTAGGTAGTCGGGACACCCCCCCGACTATAGCGGGCTCTCTTGCTTCCCTAAGTAAGTGGGGAAAACTATTAACAATGTTAATAGGTAATATGATATATGTATAGCATGCCCTTTTTCGTTTGTTTAACCTAAAACATAATTTTTTTTGCGGGTTAAAGAGTTGTTAGAAAAACAATTTTAGCAAGAACGGATTAGCAAGAGTATATTGCTCAACAAATTAGTAGGATTATGTAATGTCGTATTCTAATTCTTTGTACATAAATAGTTTTTGTTACCATTTTATAATAAAGAAAGACAAACTTTTAATTTATATTCGATGTATTTTGGTTTAGTGGACGAAAATAGATCGAAAACATAAACTCAATGTGTGCTTTTTTTAAAATTATGTAAACACTTTGTAATGATGATTAAGAACAAAAAAACCCTTCTATACACATCTAAGCGAATACAATACAATATCGTTACTGACCTGGAACAATGTCATCTATGTGTGCAAATATCTATACATGCTAAACTTTTAATTTTAAAAATGTTTTGCCTGTATTTGTTTTATTGAATATATATATTTTTATCATATTTTTCAGTAATCAATAATAATTGAATTCATTTTCTTTAGGCATTTGCATGGTTTAGCGACTTGCTGGTTGAACACGCGGAGATATTTTGGTCTCTATTTGCAGTTGATATGGATAGAGTTTTATCTGAGCAAGCTCCTGATACATGGGATTCTTTCCCATTGTTCCAAATTTTAAATGATTATTTAAGAGCTGATGGTAAGTTAATGTTTTTGAATTTGTTAAAAAAGTATTGGCAGTATTTTTTCCAGCATTTCCAATGTTACCATTTTATAAATTTTACGTTGTGTTATTTTCACATAAAAGAAGAAAGGAATCTAGCTTCAGCAAGCCCAAGATAATATACCCTCGCAGATTAATCCATTGGCAGCTTTATGATATAGAAGACCAAAGTAGAGGAGAATATGAACGGGAATACATAATAACAACAACAAATGTATTTTATTTTAGATTAAAGGATTAGAGAGTCAAAAAAAAAATTCAAAAAAGTCCATAAGTCCGCGGGGTGTCGTCTGCGGAGACGACGTCGGCAAAAGACGTCTAGCCAGGCGGTTAGGATGCACCAGGAGCAATTCGAGAGCAGAGTTATCATCTTAGTATCTGTTGGTACTCTTGTGTCACGAAATAAAACGCTATTTTCGACGTAATGATGCCACTTCACCACAAGCATCATCCGTAGTGCTTTTGTGATGCAAGTCTCAACTCTTCTTAGCGTCGTGTCGCAAGTGGAGCCCAGCATGTTATTCCCCAACTTAGGGTCGGGAGAACAATGGCTTTAAAGAGCCGTACTTTGGCCTGAAGGGATAATCCGCTATCTGTCCAGTTTCGTCCTTGCTGACCCACAGACACATTTAATCTGTCCCTTCCAGCATAGACGGCAGTCTAAGGTAACACCGAGGTATGTTTAAGTCTATCGCCATCCAAGTAAAGACTACGGGATCGGCTATGTCGAAGAGCAAAGGTGGCGTGTTCCGTTTTATCAACGTTCAGCGCAATATTCCAACGAGAGGCCCAACATTTAAACTTGTTTAAGAATATCTGGACGCGTTACGATGTCGAGGAGGAGGAATGCAGTATCATCTGCATAGGTAGCAAGGAGAGTACCGCGAACCAACGGTTTGGGAGATCCGAAGTGTAAATTGTGTACAGATCCGGGTCAAGGACGCTCCCCTGTGGGACACCAGCACGAATTAGACGTAGTCCAGAAATGACACAATGAGCTTCCAAAGTCCCTCAAGCAATAGTGGCATTAATTTGTAGAATAGACCTTCATGCAAACAGCCGAGAAATGTCTATGACCTTCTAAGGCATCTAGAATGTGGCTAACGACTCTGTGAACCTGTTCGACAGCGGAGTGGCGATTACGGAAACCAAATTGATAGTTTCGTAGAGCGGCATTAAAGGTGGAGCCTTTTAAGTACGATCCGCTCAAAAATCTTGAAAAACGTGGACTTATTGGCCTGTAGGACTCAGGGGAGCACGGATCTTTGCCCTTTTTGGGGACCATTGTAACTAGATCCCATTTCCAATGGGATGGAGTGACGCATTAAAGAGAAGGCAGAGCTGCGCATTGACAAACTTTGCAACTTTACCATCTTCCTTATACATGCCAGGAGCTTTTGCTGGGACCAATCGCTTAATATGATCACGGACCTCTTCCTCATACACTGGTCGCACCACAAAAGGAAAGAGAGTTCAAACCTAGAAATTGTGGTTCGAACTTCCTGGTCTGTTGCAAAATCAAACGGAGTAAATCGGTTTTCCAGATCATCCTCAAATACATCTGCTATATCGCAATCACTGTGAGCCCAAGTGCTATCGCTTCGTTTGAGAGGAAACCTGTGAACAGGTTGTCTTCTCAGATTTCGTGTGCATTTCCATAATGCAAACCCATGATTCTGGTTGGGATCAATGACACTGAGATGATTCACAAAAAATTCAGATTTGGCCAATCGAAGGACTTTTCTGAGTTCTGACACGGCAGCCCTCCAGGGGATGCCTTGTCCTCATCCAAACGCGGCGAAGTGCACGAACTTGTCTGGCCAAGACTGCAATTTCAGGATTCAAAGAAGCCCATGTTGGCGGCGGAATAGGTACACTTCTAGCAGGAAGGGCAGCTAGATGGATCTTGTCTACCAAAACCTGAGCAAACGAATCAACATGACGTTGATAAGCAGTGATAAGCAGAGGGTTATTTTCAGTTTTGAAAGGTTTTAAAAAGACCTGTTTCGAAGGTCCGATTTTTCAGGAAAAGTCAACTAGTCCTGTTCATAACGACAAAATAAGAACTTAATTTAAACGGTTTTGCGAAATTTTGAGTTCTACCGGAGTTATAGAGGTCACAACACGGCATTTTTGACACTTTTTCGAAAAAGTTGCACTCAGTAATTTGTATATCTTCGGAATGGTTGGGATATCTTTATGATGTTTTCACTAATCGACCAAGAATTGTATTAGCTTTTCATCAAAAAATTTTAAAATTTTATAAAATGAACTAGTGATGATCGCACATTCCACATATAAAGTTATAAAAGTTTTGTGACGAAAAATGATTTTACATTCGAATAAATAACTTAAATAAACTTAAATAAACTTCCCCTGCTCCCCCTTTTCCCCTACATTTTTTTAAAATTTACTCACTCGGCCCGCTTAGGCAAAATAATGAACGTTCTACCCACCCGGCCCTTTTCTATTGTAACGTGCCTATTGCATGTAGAGCAATTATGTCTGGGAAACACGATTATCATTTTTAAGTACCTTTCGAATGACGTGGGTGTATCTTTACCAGTTTAGAATATGGAAACGGAAAAGTAGCTTTTTCTAGCCATTTCCCGTATAACTAGCGTGATTATCAAAAAGTGGTTGCTCAAAAGATTTTCCGCTCAAGCTGCTTTATGCTACACAAAACAACCAGGTCCCTAAGACATAAAATAGACGGAACAAATTATTCGGTTCCGGTTTGGCTCTAATTTCTTCCGAACCAACGAGTTCTCAAAAGTCTTAGTATAAAAATTTGAAGAGAATAATAATACCTTTCGACCGGCGCATTGTGGGGCGCCTAGAACAAAAAGCCTGCCAAAATGTTTTTTTTTTAAGATTTTTCAAAATGTTGGAATGCAACTTTAACAAGAAAGGAAGCTACCTTCGGTTAGCCGAAGCTTATATACCCTTGCAAATACCTATAGTTTAATGCTCACTCGGTGCTCGGTGTTCCAGGGAGTCCAGATTCAGCGTGTCTACTTAAATTTTGTTTTTAAGTTGTCAAAAATCAAAACGCCTACTTCCTACAAAGTTACAATGAATTTTCTTATATTTGTTTGAATATTCCTATGGGAGCCTTAAGACATAGTGGTCCGATCCGGCTCGCTCCGAGATATGTACTACCTGCAATAGAAAGATGACTTTCGGGAAAGTTTCATCGCGATAGCTTTAAAACTGAGAGACTAGTTTGCATAGAAACGGTCAAAGGGACAGACGAACATGGCTAGATGGACTCGGCTATTGATGCTGATCAAGAATATAAATACATTATGTGATCGGAAACTACTCCTGCACTGCGTTGCAAACATCTGACTGAAACTATAATACCCTATAAAAACAATTGAATTCTCTATACAAATCAGAAAAAGTGATATGCGATGAATGGTTCTCCCACTAAAGATTTTTAAAGTTGATTTTTCGAAATAGAATTTTACCCAATAAGAAAAAAAAGTATTGTTAAACATCTTTAAAAGTTTTCTGAAAGCGCCCAAGGACTTAAGTTGTATATGTAACGATTGAAATTTTAAGAGCAACCAATTCTTAGATTATTCAAAAAAAATAATAATTTTAAGTGCATAATTACCATTCATTTTTACAATTTTTTAAATTCTTGGACGTAAAGTAGTGTTACACCCAAGATCCCCTTTTAATTTTTTTTTTTTTAAGTTTAGATTAAACTACAAAAATTTAAACTACAAATTGTGAAAAAATTAGCCTGCCTTTTAGTGCCTCTAATAATTTGAAATATCGTCAGCCCTGGTTCATCCGCGCGCCTTAATATCATGAAGATATTTTACTTATGTGAAGGTATTGATGAAGATAATGATAAATTAATAAAAAAGTTTAGGTTTTAAATTTAAAATTATGTGATTATACTAAAAATATAGATATGAAATAAATAGCGGTTTCTACCAGATTTTTTTTAAAATATGCTATATTTCCTTATTTGATTCTATGACACCTATAAAATACACTATGCAGCATCAAAAATTTAACTAGATGGATGCTATATTTTTGGATTCGTTGCGAATTCCCAAGTTAAATTGCGTTTTCCAAAAAGTTCCCCGACGCAAGGATTCTTAGCAAAAGGACCTCAAAGTTCGAAAAATGCTGAAATTGAATTGAAATTGAAATTAGAAAAGATACACTCTTTTCTTTCGAACCCCATACTTAGAATAATTTTAGGATTTTTATTAAGGGAGAAATAAATTTTAGAAAAATTATAAAAGCTTACAGCTGCGGTCAAAATAGTAGTAGTATTGCCGCCCTGTGTTTTTAAAGGTTTGTTGTTGTCACTTTTCTTATCCAATAAGTCTAATAGTACAATTATAATCAATACAATATTACCAGGAGAAGAAAAATTACAACAACAAACCTTTAAAAACACAGGGCGGCAATACTACTACTATTTTGACCGCAGCTTTATGCTTTTATGTTTTTTGGACTATGTTTTCTAAAATTTGTTTCTACCTTAATAAAAATCCTAAAATTATTCTAAGTATGGGGTTCGAAAGATAAAGAGTGTATCTTTTCAAATTTCAATTTCAATTTCAGTATTTTTCGAACTTTGAGGTCCTTTTGCTAAGAATCCTTGCGTCGGGGAACTTTTTAGAAAACGCAGTTTAACTTCGGAATTCCCCTTTGTAATAAGCGTTTATATGGCAGCTGGGTAAGAATTTCTCAACTGCTCATATAAAATTTTAGATTTTCTTCAAATAAATAAAATAAATAAAAAAATCCATCGATTTGTATGACAGCTATATGAAGGGACGATTATGATCACTATGGACGGCAGTCCATGTAGTGACGAAGCGCACCAGGAGAGTGTGCGAAGGCGACTACTATTATATAGCCGCAAAATTGAAAATCTGCTGTGATAGTCCGATCGTAATGAGTAATACACCAATCGAAAGGTATTGCAAAAACTTAAAGTATTGCATACCAAGACTTTAAGAAAATCAATTGGCTTGGGAGAGAGAGCGGTGAAAGTGAAAAAGTAAAAATTTCGAAATTTGGAGCTGTTGGGGCCGGTGGGGATAAATGCCCCCTCGCAATGTTTTAGTTGTATTCCTTTTGAAAATACCCGTCGAATGAGGGGTCATTTGTCAAAATCCGACGCTCCGTTATAGTCAGTTATAGCCAAAATAAGATTTTCTTCTTCTTCCCAAAATGAAAATTTAATTCTGTTTGTCAGTTTGTCAGTTTGTCAGTTTGTCCAAAACATGTTTCTTAAGTTTTGAATATTTAATATGACGTTCATCACATCGATATAAAAAACTTTTGTTCTACCACTTTTGGAAAAACTCGCTAGTTTAGCGGGAAAACAGCTATAAATAGCTAAAATTCGGAATTCCGTAACTTTTATACTACTAAAGCTACAGACTTGTGCTGCATCTCGTTTGAAAGGTATTTTTAAATGCTATAAACGCCCTCTATATGCAATTTGTCTAAATGTAATAGTTAAAAAGATATGAACAAAAGAAATTTTTTTAGCTTTTTTTTAATTTTTTCAAAAACGGCTCTAACGATTTTCTTGAAACCTTTAAACTGTATAGCCCTTGAGATTCCTTAAATTTAGGTATATAACACATTACTGTAAAAAGTCACGTTTAAAAGTTATTTTTATACGAAAATAGCCACTTTTGCCAGCTCGAACAACTAAAGCTTCCTGAGTATTGAATTTTGTGTGAGGGTATCCGAACTGTATTTTAGGGTCATGGAATCAGTAAATTTGCACTTAAGAGTTCCATATAGGAATATTTTGTTCTACGACTTTTGGAAAAAGCCGCTACTTTAGCGGGAAAAAAGCTAAAAATGGCTAAATTTCGTTAGTTTGTAAGTTCTACACTACTAAAGGTACAGACATGTGCCATACCTCGTTTAAAAGGTATTTTGAAATACTTAAACACCTTTTTAACTTAATTTGAGAGAAAATATTAGAAAGTCTATTTAATGACGAGTGTAATAATTTTTCGTCACAAATGTTGATATCAGAACTTTTGTATGTTGAAGGTGCGATCGTCACTAGTTTTTTACCTCTTTAAGAGGTGTTGCTTTGGAAATCGTTATTTGTACATTTTTATTTTTTGCAAATTCAAATATCCGCTATTCGGGATTTTTATTCGTAAAACTCACAAATAAAACTTAATTCGCCCCTGTGTCTTCAGCTTGCATCCAATCGCATAGAAATTTAGCAAAGGCCACTTTTGGAAGTTTATCTACTGGATGCAAAAAAATTTTCGCGGAATGGACCATTAAATCAAACCTTTTTCTTATGATCTAAAAAATTCTAAGCGAATGATGAAGCGACTGAAGTAACAGTAACTGTTATATGAGTACACTTAGGCACGGCCATCATCCTCTGAAGAATTCGCGGACAGTTTCTTTCAAAAACAACAAACAACAAAAAACTCCCTCGTTTTTCTTGTTTACTCAATCAAAAGCAACAAAAAAACGAGGATGGAAGATAACTTCGGCAAGCCAATGTTTTAATATTTTTGCAGATTTTACAAATAAAAATTTGACTAGAATAGCAGCATAAACTAATAAATATTTTATAATTGAAAAATAAGCTTTTTAAATTTGTCACTCTATTGTTCCAATGGGAGCGATCGGAACGCGCTTTTACCCTGATCAAGATATGAATTAAAAAATACGATTTGGAAAGATTCATGCCAATAGCTTATACACTGCCCGAAATATCCTGAAAAAATAACATTTTGAACGATTTCACCCTATTGTTTTTGGGAACTAAAGGATATGGACGTCCGATCGGCACGCGCTTTTACCCTGATCAAGGGATGCTTAAAACAGTAAGATTTGGAAAGATTCATGTCAATAGCGAAATATCTCAGGGACACATCTGATTATAATGTTTCCAGGACCTTAAAACAGAGTTCGGATACGCACAATCAAAATTTAATGCTTAAGCAGCGATTGTTGTTCTAAGCTGGCAAAGGGGCTATTTTTGTTTTTGAATAACTTTTGAACCTGACTTTTTACAAAAACGCGTCATACACCAAAATTTGACGAAGGACTATACAGATTAAAGTTTTAAAGAAAATCGTTAGAGCCGTTTTTAGTAAATACTTTTTACAAAATAAAAAAAACTAAAAACAAATTTTCGGCGGTGTCACAGAAACCTGGGATGGATAAAAGTACTTGTCGTTTTTTTTTTGCTAATTTTTTAGAAAGGTTTTATAAAAAGCCTGATCGTTTTTCGGTAAATTTTCCGAAAAATGAAATCTCTTGAATACCTGTGACACCAACGGCTTTGGTCGGTTGGTTTCTAAGCCAACCGTCCCTAAATCCGTCGCCGGTTTCTGTGACACCCCCGCATATAACATTTCCATGGCTTTAAAACCAGGTTTTGCTTAGACAGACAGACTGACAAGCAAAATTTAATTTTCACTTTGAGAAGAAGAAGAAAATCTTCTTTTAAGTATAACATTTGAACGGAGCATCGGATATGACCTCATTCAACGCGTATTTTCAAAAGGAACACAACTATAATATTGCGAGGGGCATTTATCCGTACAGGCTCCAACAGCTCCAAATTTCTTCATTTTCACTTTCACCGCCCTCTCTCCCAAACCAATTGAAATTGATTAAGTCTTGGTTTGCAATCCTGTTAGTTTTTTCAATACCTTTTGATTGGTGTATTACTCGTTCGGTAGATAGTCGTAGAGAGCATTTAACAACAGCTCCAAATTTCTTCATTTTCACTTTCACCGCCCTCTCTTCCAAACCAATTGAAATTGATTAAGTCTTGGTTTGCAATCCTGTTAGTTTTTTCAATACCTTTTGATTGGTGTATTACTCGTTCGGTAGTATAGTCGTAGAGAGCATTTAACATTGAATACATCTTTTAACCTCAAGGGTATAAAAACTTCGGATAACCGATGTTAGCTTTGATACTTGTTGTAGATTATCAATAAATATTTTATTGGTCAATTTACCTTGTTAAACACTTCAAAATATTGCAGATAATTTGCGTAATGGGCGTTTTCATCAGCACCTTCGTGACACTTTCGCCCCATTAGTGGTGCGGTACGTTGATCTGATGGAATCTTCGATAGCTCAGTCAATTCATAAGGGATTTGAAAAAGAACGCTGGGAAAGCAAAGGGTAAGTATAACCTATATATGTTTATTTAATATATAAAAGAAAATGTATTATTTTATCAATAATATATGCACAACAAATATGATAGATTAATTTTTAAATAATTGGCCAGTTAATATTCCAAAATTTAATTAAATTAAACAAATTAACTGTTTGGATTGGACGATATTTTGGAAGTCAGATTGGCAAGGTCACACATACGTACATATATTAATTAAGGTCATACTTTATATTCTGCATTTAAAAGCAGTATTTGTGTTGTATTTATATTTTTATTCTATAAAACTTTAGGATTAATGCTGCTTTGAACCCTGCAGCATTAAACAATGCTGCCCAGGCGCTCAATACAGCAGCACTCAACCCATCAATGCTACTCAGCGGCAAAAAAGATCAAGTAAATTTTTATGTGCCGAAGTTACCAAAGCAATCAAATTCAACAGCGGCCAGCGACGAAATGAGGTTTTTAAATATACAAAAGTCAACATATACATAGAAGTAGATTTTTAAATTGTCTGCATTTGGTTTTGCATTTTGTGTTCTGCCACATTTTTTTGCATTGCCGAATTTATAACTTGTCAGCATTTCAATGCGTTTCACAAGATAGTAAATATAAATTTATATTACATTCTAGATAAATCGTAGTATTATTAAGTTGAATATTATCTTGAAAAAGATTACCTTGATCATAATTTCATACTTATAGCGTTGTTAAGTTTGTTGCATTAAAAAATATTGCAAATCTGAATAATAAAATACTTTGATATTTTCAACTACATTCAACATTAGAATACCTAAGGCTGTTTTCTCGACCGTTGTTTTATTTTTAAAGGCAGTATAATTTAGCAGTATAATTTTGCTTCAAAGTTCATTTTAGGGAAATATTTTTTTTGAAAAATCAGCTTATTACTCAGATTTGTTATAAACTGTTAGTATGACCGTTTTCGGAACGTTTCGATTTTTTTTTGATAATAAGTTATTTTTGGTAATAGAAGTTGCCATCCAGTCGCACAATGGATCGTCTTTGACATCGGGATTTAAGGAGCGGGCGAGAAAACGTATGCACATTTATCGTCTCAAAGCATTTATATTCATTTCACCCAAAATATACTTTGAGGGACATTTTATAACTGTAATTTTCTTATTGTATAGGGTAATCTATTTTTGTTCAGACGTTGCCAATTACATCTTAAACAAAAATTATTGGTATCGATATATATCAGAGCATGTAAAAAACAGTTGATCGTTTTTTTGTTTGCTGTCTCGGTCTGAACGAAACCGAAAAAAATTTAAAAATTTGGTTTCGGTCTAAGCGAAACACTTTGATTCTCAGTAAAAACGCTCTTTTTTAACAGTTCTGCCTTTCCTTTGCCTTACACCTTTAAAAATTTAAGCTAATATATAGAGCATCTATTTGAAAATACATAAATGGTAAATAACTTACATGTTAGCACTAGGTGCATTACAATTACTGTTTCCATTATCTTCTAAATAAGCATTGGTGATGCTGTTATACGAGTAAAGACATACAATGGCCATCATCTCCTAAAGAATTCGCGGATTTAAGTCTTGTAAGATAAAGCCTCCAAGTGATGTTGTTATACGAGTAAATATATACAATGGCCATCATCTTCTGAAGAATTCGCGGTTTTAAGTCTTGTAAGATATAGACTCTAAGTGATGGTGTTATACGAGTAAATATACATCAAATAAAAACACCTCTTAACGAGGTAAAAAACTAGTGACGATCGCACCTTCAACATACAAAAGTTCTGATATCAACATTTGTGACGAAAAATTATTACACTCGTCATTAAATAGACTTTCTAATATTTTCTCATTCGGCCCGCCCTAGCAGACTATTCCAGCCTTTTTCCCTTCACAGGCATTTTCTATTGCAGCGTGCCGAATGAAAAAATATTAGAAAGTCTATTTAATGACGAGTGTAATAATTTTTCGTCACAAATGTTGATATCAGAACTTTTGTATGTTGAAGGTGCGATCGTCACTAGTTTTTTACCTCGTTAAGAGGTGTTTTTATTTGATATCAGAAGTTTTTGTTTGTTTACATTTGCTCTCATAGGAGCTTAATGTAAATGTATATATTAAATTTAAATTTAAATTGGTCAATCATAATTTGTATGCCATTGTATTTAAACAAATTAAATTAAAAAGGCGTTTAAGTATTTCAAAATACCTTTTAAACGAGGTATGGCACTTGTCTGTACCTTTAGTAGTGTAGAACTTACAAACTAACAAAATTTAGCCATTTTTAGCTTTTTTTCCGCTAAAGGAGCGGCTTTTTCCAAAAGTCGTAGAACAAAAGATTCCTATATGGAACTCTTAAGTGCAAATTTACTGATTCCATGACCCTAAAATACAGTTCGGATACCCTCACACAAAATTCAATACTCAGGAAGCTTTAGTTGTTCGAGCTGGCAAAAGTGGCTATTTTCGTATAAAAATAACTTTTAAACGTGACTTTTTACAGTAATGTGTTATATACCAAAATTTAAGGAATCTCAGGGGCTATACAGTTTAAAGTTTTCAAGAAAATCGTTAGAGCCGTTTTTGAGAAAAATAAAAAAAAGCTAAAAAAAAAGTTTTAAAAAATTGTCTTTTGTTCATATTTTTTTAATTATTACATTTACACAAATTGCATATAGAAGGCGTTTATAGCATTTAAAAATACCTTTCAAACAAGATGCAGCACAAGTCTGTAGCTTTAGTAGTATAGAAGTTACGGTTTTCCAAATTTTAGCTATTTATAGCTGTTTTCCCGCTAAACTAGCGAGTTTTTCCAAAAGTGGTAGAACAAAAGTTTTTTATATCGATGTGATGAACGTCATATCAAATTTTCAAAACTTAAGAAACATGTTTTGGACAAACTGACAAACTGACAAACTGACAAACAGAATTTAATTTTCATTTTGGGAAGAAGAAGGAAATCTTATTTTGGCTATAACTTTTGAACGGAGCGTCGGATTTTGACAAATGACCCCTCATTCGACAGGCCCCAACAGCTCCAAATTTCGAAATTTGCACTTTTTCACTTTCACCGTCTTGGTATGCAATCCTTTAAGTTTTTGCAATACCTTTCGATTGGTGTATTACTCATTACGATCGGACTATCACAGCAGATTTTCAATTTTGCGGCTATATAATAGTAGTCGCCTTCGCACACTCTCCTGGTGCGCTTCGTCACTACATGGACTGCCGTCCATAGTGATAATGGCCATCATCTTCTGAAGAACTAGCGGTTTTTTATTTTGTTTGATAAAGCGTCTAAGAGATAGTATTATCCGAGTAAATCATCTTCGTCTTCCATAATCTTCTGGAGAATTCGCGGATTTTCATATTTTACATTAGGTAAAAATATAACTGGAAATATTGGTCTGCTAAAGTTCTGTACTTCGCGTTCAAGCTTAAGACACAATAAAATCCAAAATACTCTTTGTTTCAGATTTTTATAGATAACACAGGTCAACAAAATGTACTTTATTAAAAGGTGCAGGCCTATGGGCATTAAAATATGTTAATATAGACGTATATAAGCATATCTGCATACTTCGTTTTCGCGTTTAACGGGTGGTATTTGTGCAATCGCGGTTTGAAAAAAATAAGATATCTTCGAGGGTCTTTGCCCAACTGTATTACAACCTATGCCATAAAATGGCAGATGCCCATCTACATAATTGCATTTAAGGTTCCATTAATATTGAGTCAATCAAAGCCTATGAGCCATTGAAGTAATTTTTTCACCTCTATTCACAGCCAACTTGAACTTGAACAGTCTTAAAAAAATACAAGGAAAAATATGTGCCGTAAAATATTTGACAGGCATCTAGAGGCGACTTTTCCCGAATTTTTGAGATAAAACCCACTATTGTACTTCGAAGGATGGAATATAAGAATTTTTTCCGTAAGAACGGGAAAAGTAACAAGAATTTTGAAATTCCATTTTACATAAATATCTGTCACATTCCACTATGGTCCAAAAGTCGATTTTTTTGGCATAAACTCTAAAAATTGAGTCACAGACTTCAAACTTTACACATTCTGTTTTTTTACAAAGAATAGTATGCAAACAAATTTTTGAGTCTGTGCGACCACGCCCTCTTTTGCCTCCCATACAAGCAAATTCATAATACTACACTGTGTTATAAAATGTAACCTTTTTTTAAATACCTCGATGAAATCTTAAAAGTCCTATTTGCTTTAAATAATCAGCGCTCTAAATGTGCTCTCGAAAAAATTTTCACACCCAAGGATTCTAAAAAAAGGACACTAAAGTTGGAAAAATTCTGTTTTTGGCAAACTTTGAACCTATTTTGCAGACGAACGGATTCTTCGTATGTAATGTAACTCAAAACATTTAAAAAGTGCAACTCTGTATCTTTCAAACCCCACACTCACAATAATTTTTCTAATTTTTTTAACGGAATTATAAGCAAAGGAAGACATTTCCTTTTCTTTCTCTTACGAATGCTTAACAAGGAAGGATTCAAAATAACTACTTTTTTAAATTTATTTTTTATGTTTTATCATCTTTTAAGTGGTAATTGATAATTTTTACAGAAATGCAATCCTAAAAAAATTAAATTTTCGATTGTTGCTGCGCCAAATATCCTAGAGATCGCTACGAAGAAACTTTAAGGTCCCTGAATAGTGTGGAATTGCGTGAAAAGGGGGACGAACGGGGAAAAGGTGTTAATTAGCGCTGAAAAACGACATGTATATGTACAAACTGGCGTACTTAGTTTTTGTGGTCAGACGTCGGGTCGTTAGTTTTATCCCACTAAATACAGGGAACAAATATTAATTTTCTATAAAAATACACATAAATTGGAAATTAAACACAGGTCGAACACTAAGATTACACATAAATGTACTATACACACTAAATATTACATACCTTGATCTTTCATTTCCATAATTTACTTAATTTAGTCGGGACAAAGAAGTTGTATTTTTTTGCACAAACGTAAAGAAAATATTATGGCGCCAATTTCTTAGTCCTAAGCAGCTGATCGATTGTGTACTTTTGAAAGCTCATAAAAAGCGTTAGTGTAGCTTTTAAAGCTTTTTTTTTTAAGTTTCTATATATATGATCTATTAACTTTAAGAATTTAAAATAAAAAATACAAAACATTAACATAAAAATTTCGACTTTATGCCAAAAAATCGGCCGCTCGGACCATAGTGCATTCATAGAAATTTGCCTTTCAATTTGGTTAGCAGTGGGCGTTGAACATCAAAAAATTATATTTTCAAGGGGTTAGTATGCCTGTTAAATATCTCCCCCTACAATTTTAAGGCTACGCCACTGTTATCTTTAAAAAACCTACTGTGCACTATGGGCAAATATACAGTCTTTGAGGCATAAACTCCAGTTTTAAAGATACAAATCTAAAATTTTTGTTATATACTTTTAAGGCTAAGATGTAATTTCGGTTTTTGTT